AATACATAAATTTCAGTCAGTAAAATAGTAATAAATTTATTTTTTACTTATTTTCGTTTATATTTCATTTCTTTTTTGTTTTTGGTTAATCACATAAAATTTTATAACTTCAATGAGGAAAAAAATATATATTTTTTTTCTAAGTAAACGAAAAAGTTTAAGAGGTTCAACAGCATTCGAAAGTTAAAATTTATGTTAATTTTTGTGAAAGAATATGTAATCCAGTTTGCTCTTAATTGAATTAGAAAATTTTTGAATTTAAAAAAAAATCAATATTTCGAAAATAAATAAATTAAATTATTGAGATATTATGTTAATTTATTGCTTTTTTCACTTTCTTTTCCATGGATCATATTATTTCGAAAGAAGGAAATGTCCTAACAAGACAAAATGAACGTAGCACACTCTATTGACTTGTATATAGTCATTCGCTAAGTCCAGCTATTGTTTAATATAATTTAAATGTGGCCTAAAACTGAATACTGTCAAAAAAGGGTTAAAATTCTCAAATTAAATAAAGTCTTAAATTCCATTATAAAAAAAAGTAATAAGGTAGAATTTTTCGATTGAGCTTAAATAATACTGTTGAATTAGATTAAACATATTGCTTGGTCCATTCTGTTAAGCTATATATCAGAAAATATTTCATGTATCGGCACACATATTTTTCTAAACATTTAATCAGCTCTGAAATCTTTAATAGCATTTTCGATTTACTCAAAGTTGATCTGAGAATAACTTAAGTTTTTTTAAATACTATCTAGAAAATATATAAAAATTTTCAAATAGATACCAGGATAAACTGCATAGGAAAACAAAAAAATCCAGACTATAAAATCTGTAATAGTAAATTAAATTTACTAAAAGTTCATTTGAAATTATTTTAAATTTTTTTAAATACTATCCAGAAAATATACTATATTCTTAAAATAGATGCCGGCTTAGATTGCTTAAGAAAACAAAAAAAAACCATGCTCTAAAATCTTTAATGGTATTTTCAATCTACTATAAAATCATCTGAAATTGTTTTGAAATACTGTCCAGAAAAAAATACTGTAATTTTAAAATAGATACTAGGATACACTGCATAAGAACACAAAGAAATCTAGGTTCTATAACAAAATCTTAAATGGTGTTTTCAATTTACTAAAAGCTCATTTAAAAATGTTTTAAATTTTTTACATACTGTACAGAAAAGATACTACAATCTTCAAAAAGAAAACTCCGCTACTTTTTAAAACAATTTTATTAGTGATTGAGGTAAAAACAGCCTTTCTAACTTTACTGTTCAGCCCAAAAATATAGCGATGTAATAATTAAGATGAAATTCGTTTTAAAATTTAATAGCAAAAATATAAAAATCTCGCTTTCTAACTCTACTATAAAGATCAACTGTTCAAATCGAAGTTACCATATAAGCTCAATTAAAGGTATGAGTTTGGCGTCAGTCTTGCTACACTATACTCTCGGTCACAAGTGAAATTTTTTTCTCATCTTACGCGAGCAGTTTTTTGTTAAATATATTCCTTCTGGCAGATATTACCGTTTTCTTTTTATTACTTAAGCCATTTTTAATTTCAACTCAGTCAAATTGTTTATTATTTTTAGAATCCATATTTAAAAGTAACTTTCCTAAATCTATTTTTCTTAAAAAACTATAAACTATATTAATATTTTCTTAATTAACAAAAAAAATCTTTTTTTCTCTTCCAGGTGTGGTTTAAAAATCGTCGTGCCAAATGGCGTAAACGTGAACGTAATGCTATGAATGCAGCTGTTGCTGCAGCTGATTTTAAATCCGGTTTTGGATCTCAATTTATGCAACCATTTGCTGATGATTCACTATATTCCTCATATCCATACAATAATTGGACAAAAGTACCTTCACCACTTGGTACAAAACCCTTCCCATGGCCAGTCAATCCACTTGGTTCAATGGTTACCACAAATCACCATCAAAATTCAGTGAATTGCTTTAATACTGGTGCCAGCGGTGTTGCTGTTAGCATGAATAACTCAATGTTACCAGGTACGATGGGCTCCACATTGACCAATTCAAATGTTGGGGCTGCACCCTGCCCTTATACAAATCCCGCTAATCCTTATATGTATCGTGCCGCAGCTGAACCTTGCATGACATCTAGCATGTCTTCCAGCATAGCTACGTTACGCTTAAAAGCGAAACAACATACAACCGGTTTCGCAAGCCCCTATTCAGCGCCTTCACCGGTTTCGAGATCCAATTCAGCAGGTCTGTCAGCATGTCAATATACTGGCGTTACTGATGTTGTTTGAGAAAACGCCCTCGGGGCTCTGCTCAATCAGCATCAGCACCATTTACAACATTTCTCTAGCGGCGGTAATGCATCAGTTGGACATAATTTGCATCATCTACACAACAATAACAACAACAATAATCTATTAAATAACAACCATTTGTTACTGGATCACAACGGTGGCGGCAGTAATGATAAATCACCACTTCATCATCAACAGAATGATTTAAGTGGTGGTAATGGTAGTGCTAATGGTTTAATGGGCCCAAATGGTACCAATGACAATGGCGAAGATGTAGAAGAAGTCATTGACTAAGATTGCTTACACATGCAATGGGTGTCTTAGACTTGATGCAATAAATAATATAAAATGAAATAATTTAAAAATAAAAATGAATGTATGGAAATTAAATTAAAATTTAATTGTTAATTGTAAAAACAAAAAATAATTAAATATATTAATGAATAAGAAATTTACATAAATGTAGCTAAAGCCTATGTAACTAAGCCAAAAATATTTGTATGTAAAATTGTTAGGAATCCCAAAGAACAATAACTACTCTTAAAAGAAGTTTGTAAAATTCTATGCTAGTTAATAACTTAACTTAAAAATTTATATAAATATTTAATAATTTTGCTTATTTACAAAAATTTTTACATTTTAGTTTGTTTTATTTGTTTTTTTTTTTAAATATTTCTCAACTTCAATAATTATTTTTTTATTATCTTTCTAAATTTTTATTAACTAAGAACTATAAGCTCTGTTGTATATAGATAAATAATAATTAAAATAAAAGTAAATATTAATATTTAATATAATAAATATAAATAAAAATTGCAGTTTAATATAAAAATAACTCTGTTGCAACTAAAATTAATTAAAAAAATAAAAAATAGAAACTTGAAATATCTACAAAAACGACATTATTCAAATTATTTTTTACAATTTTTTTTAATTTTTTTACAAAATAAATTATTAAAGTCATTCACCATTAATAATTTTTAACTATTATTTTCATGTATTTATGTATGCACTTTGATTGAACACAAATTTTTAAAAACCCTTGTAACTAAAAATGAAAATGAAATGTAAACAAATAAATATATATATCTTTCCAAATAAAAACAAAATATAAAAGTATATATAAATAAAAACCTTTAACCAAAGTATTTTATCAATGACAGTTTTTAAACAGTTGTCTAGTCGTATGAAAAATAGAATTAAAAACGCGAAAATTGCAAAAAAAACTTAATTAAAAAATCTATATAAAAATATTAAAATCAAATTATTATAATATATTCATAGTTTAAGGTAATATTAAATTTAAAAAAAAAGAAAAACAATTGAGAACAATAAAAATTCATAAAAACCTTCAATTAAAAAATATTTCGTTTAGATTTTATTCAGCTGTGGATATAGAATTTATCGAGAAGTGGAATATATAGTTGATCTCTTCAAGGTCTTGATGTTTGAGAACACATTTAATTCGATAGAGACGATTTTTTCAAATAATAATACTAATAATATAGAAGACTTAAAGTGTGAGAAAAGTAATGAGATTATCTTTACAGTCTTAGCAGTTACTAAGTACTAGGTTCATTACAATTAAAACCCAGAGTTTCATTTGATCTATGCGGTTTAAGACATTGCGAGATATATCATAATATTATTATATCATAATATTATTATATTATAGTATTATAATACTATATATTATATAGTATTACATATACTGTACACACATTTTGATATTTTGTGATTATATACGAATATTTTTAATTAAAATCCACAATAATATTAAAGGAAGTAAATACATTAAAATTTTAATAAGAAAAAATGTTTAATAATCAAATAATTTTATAAAATATTGAATTTAAAAATTTAGGAAGAATGGAATAAAATCAAACTATAAACGTGACTATAACAGCAAAATCTATTCATTAATATTATGATAATTATTCGAGTACATAAAAAATCTTGTTTTGAGGATATATTTTTAACCATGTTATTTTTATTAGACATTATACTAGTATCATATCTGTGTTAAAAAAGATTAAAGTGGCAACTTTGTGTCGAAATCCATTTGAGCTCAAATATTGCCTAGTTGTGATATTACGGACTAGCGCTTTATTATAGCTAGCTAGAAATAGTTAGCTAACTAAAGATAGCTAGCTACAATTCATCAACAATATACTGATTTAAATAAGTAGATCAATAGAAAATGTATAGGGCAAAGAATGAAAGAGAATATTCTGAACCATCAATGCAAGATATGAAATGTGAATATGAACACTGAGATTATCGAAGATTATTAAAGAGAAATAGCGGATTAAGAGTTTTAGAAAAAGAATTTCAGTTACTGATATCTTTGTAAAATATCGAAAAGAGATTTTTACTTTATAAATAGTTATACAGTCGAATAGTTTTTGGAGATTAGAGGTTTTAGATGTAATAAATTATGAAATTGTAGTTTAGATCAATTAAAAACAAAACTGATTGCCATCAAGCAAGCATTAAAAACTTATTTGAATATATAGATATAGGCTTGAAAGATACTGATACTACTATTCTGGTATTTAACAACCAGAATGGATCTAAAAACGAAACCAATATTTTGATATTGCCAATCTAATTGAACAAAATTTTGGTACTAAAACTTCAGAACATTGTAAAGTTTATAAATAATCATTACTTTTTCCAAGTCAAGTTATGAATACTTCTACCGCGATAGTACAAAATTTCGAACTTCATTATTATGATATATGTCATACATATAACCGATAGTGTTTATATTAATTAAGTCGCATCAAGCATAAAGACTGCAACTAATGCAAGCTTTGCTTAATTTGATTATTCTTAGATCTATTTAGACTTCGAGAACTGTCAATATTTTTATTTCCTGACTCAAATTGTTTTAGGTCTTTGCAATCTTTGCAACCTATTTAACTAAACAACTTCATTACTCTCAAATATAAGTCATATATTATTGGGTTGGGTTATCCATGCGTAGTAAACTGATGCTTACTTTTGGGCCTGTAACGTGGTGGGTTCCACAGCTCCAATAAAAATAAGGTGAAAGCCTCGGATAGGCGATGGATAGCTATTGATCGGACTGGCTGGTCTATAATGATCAACTAATTAAGTAAGTAAGCAGTGATGGTATGATAATACCACACTGATATTAACCTCATAGTACGTTTGTTGACGATTCACTGACGCTTTGAAAACAATTCTAAGATAATGAATATACTCTACAATTACAGTTACAGCAGTGAAAAAGTTAAAGAAAACGCTTCACATTAACTTCGTTATTATGTTGGGATTAACTTTTAGAGGATTTTCGTCATTTATAAGATCTCGCTTCAAGGAAGATTTAAGTGAACCCCTTGAAATCACGCTAGTAAACTAATACGGTTATTATTTTTCTGACCATTGACAAGGAATATATGTGTATGTAATATTGTATAAAGAGATGTTTCATATTTTTCCTATTCCTCTTTTAATATATCACCAAAACTTCGTAATATATGGAGTAAGTTTGAATTTTTCCCAAAAAAAATTTCTAATCTTCACTAATAAACATATTTTCAATTATCACAAAGCGAGTGATTAATTTTCCTCAGCATATATGATGAAAAAAATCCACTGTCAAACCGCACATGACACTATTCAAATTTAGCCGAACCTCCCTTGGACCATTGACTGCATGAGGTGAAGAATAATGAATGATTTTTCAGACCAAAAGAAATTAAAATCAAAATCAAATTGTAATTTATTTACCACAGAGTTAACTTGCATAAACGCCAAAGAAGAGAAACAACAACAAAACTCCTGATAGACGTGCCAATATAAATTTAATAGAAAAATTGATAACACCACTACAATCTGCATTTCAGTTTCGAAAAACCTAAACAACAGCATCACTGGGACTTAAAGTCATTTCTAGAGAAAGAAGCTGTCGGAAGCCGCAAACAAATTACATTTCTGTAGCGCACTTAATTACCTTAAATGGTTCAGTCTGCTTCAAATTATTTTTTTTTTTTTCGTTTTTCTTCTTACCACCACCACCACCATCAAAGTCATTCCTATTCAAAGCGTTTTGCACGAAACTGGTGCAGAATCCATCCATCAATTTATTCATTAGAATGAAATTATGTCGAATTTATATGCACCCCACCGCTGCAGCTACCCGAGCACAAAGTGTACGACCGACATAGAATGGGCCACATGTTTCTTGGCTCATTTCACTTTATATGATCGCCCTCGGTTCGCTGAGTAGAAAATCACCGCACAATAAAAATAATAATAAATATAAAAGAGGACAAGGCGTAGTGCCACTTTGTCTTCCTGTCTTACCGTTTCTACTACTGTTTGCACCGTCTATACCATTGTTTGCCTATGCAAAATAACTACGCATAGAGTTGCACTGCTTTTGGTTTAAGTATAGGTAAAATTTATATCAAATTCAGGGATGGTTTTTGTACTTCTTTCTTTTGCTATTAAAAAAAACTTGTTCAGTTATCCGCTACTGATTTTGTGGTAGGAACAACTAATAGGCCAATGTTGTGGTTCGAATCGTCGTGGCACAACAAAAACGGATATTCTCTGTATCCTGCTGTGTTGCATACAGAGCTAAGAAGGCATACAACAATAATTTGGTGAAATTAAATTTGCGAATAGGGTGCGTCGCTGTCGCGATTGCCAAAAAAAAACTATTTGAATATTTTTTTCTTATTTCTTGCCGAGCGTTAGAGGCATTGACTTGCCGTACATTAACTTTTTTGACACTTCTTCTTCTTACCGTTGCTCTTTTCATTTCTTCCAGGAAAGAGATTTTGATTTATCTTATTTATTTATTTATTATTATTATAACTTTTTTTATTTTGCTTGGAGCAACTCTAAGCTGTTGTAAATGTTTTAATAAGATTGATTTTATTGCCACTGCGTGGTTGAAGGGGTTGCTTCTGTAGATGTGGTGTGCTTGGTGTGCCAATTATATGTGTGTGTTCCAAAAGGGTTAATAAGTTGTTTTCCTGCTGTTTTAGGACTTTATTATATTCTGTTATATTATGCATTCCAACTGGGTAAATGTTTATTTCCGTGTAATTTACTTTTGTTTCCTTTTGAGTTGGTGCGTTCTCATTTCTATTGTTAAAGAAGTTAAATGAAATTAGCAATTAAATTGTTATTGCCATTTGGTCATAAGGTGATACCAACAAAAGTTCATACAAGTGAGAATTAAAGGAAACCATTTCTTTATCTGAAATATAACACATTGGCTGATAAGTCTTTATGATAACACGCTGGCAATGCTAGCAATAAAAAAAATTATATAAATTTTAAAAAGTAGCAATTTTCTAATGATATATGTCAAAATTACATGACTTTTGAACGAAAACTCATTAAGTTACAGCTGCTTTGATTGTTGAGTACAGTTTCAGGTCAGAAGATAGGTTTTCACTGATCTCAATTTTTCGCCGTTTTGCCACGACATTCTTCGCAAGAAACCAAAGGATAGAAAAATACGGACTAAACCCATCGCGCCGAATTTAGATAATTTCCCAAGTATTTCGTTCTTACCGATGAACAGTCTCACAAACTATCAAAAAATACTTCCTTAAAAACCTATTCATCAGCTATTCAGGCTCTGCTCCATCCAAAGATATGGTAGAAAAGTGGTTAACTGACTTCAAACAAGGCCGTACAACTCAAAAGAGATAGTTACCCCGAAAAATATTATAAAAGTTCACAAATCGTTTTGATAATCCGTAAAATGAAAATTCATGATATCTCAAAGATTTTAAAGTAACCTGACGGCTTCATTTTTCTTAAACATTTGACTAAGAGAAAACTCTTCTCGAAGTGAATGCCAGGTTTGTTGACAATTCATCCAAAACAAAAACATGTCGATGATTCTGAGAACTGTTTGGAGCTGCGAAATCGATTGAAAAGGATCTTTTTAATCGCTTGTAACAATGGACGAAACTTGGTTTGATCATTTCACTTCAAAGTCCAATCGGCAGTCAACTGAGTAAACAGTAGTCGGCTAACCTCGTCTAAAGCAACTAGAAACGCAATAGACAGATGAGAAAATTATGGCATTCGTATTTTAGGATACACGTAGAATTTTGTTATCCACTAACTCATCAGTAATGAGATCTATATAGTACAACTGGTGCATTTAGAGCAGGCCAAGCGATGACCATATATGAGGAAAAATTATTTTTCATTAAGATAATGCACTATGGCTAAATTGTACAACTTACACTTGGAATTGCTTGCGCACCAATTGCATTCGCCAGATTTGCCGCTAAAGATAACTGTAATCGTTTACAGAAAGACATAAAGAACTGCTCTATTATTGTATTACTCTTGAAAGAAATATTGCGTTGAATGAAAGCATTGACATCAACATTATTTATGGTAACTTTTCACTTCTTCTTTCGATTCGACAGATTATTATTTATAAGTCTGTTCAACATCCTGGCGAAGGGCTGTATGTACTTTACAGAAAATCTTACTCACTTACTTAAATGACTACAACAACCCGTTACTATATTTTGGCTTGACGCAGCTTAACTCTCCAGGGAGGGACCTCTACTGCGTGCCTTCCTTCTGCAGTCTCGTTTATTAAGTGTGGTTATTGCTCCCTCAACTTGAATGAGAAGATTAGTATTAAAAAACACTATACCAAAGTGTTGATATGCACAAGAACACCCGGTATGGTGAAAACATGACGTTTATCCGATTTATAGCTATAATGCTTGCAAACTAGGCCACATCAAAAATTAGAGATACATGTGATATATGGGTTTTGACAATTTTTTCTTCTGATTCTTTAAAATTTAATTTATTGAATAAAAACAAGAATATTTTAAATTTGGCTACTACCCTTTTGGCCAAATACTATTTGCATATTAATGTAAAATGCTTTAAGGCTTAAAAGGAAGGAAGTAGAATATATTTTTGATTATGGTATAACTAGAACCTTTGTTATTTTTTTTGTACTTTTTTTATGCATCACATATACTTGTTTTGCAACATTAATTATTTTATGTGAAATTGTTTTAAATTCTTATTAAATTCCGT